CTCCATCAAAATCGTAGATTTTTTTAATGTAATCTTTGTCAACGACTATGTTTACTGATAATATACCTTCCCATTTTATCCATGTTTAAATTTTTATAATATTGAATCAAACTCTGTTTATATTTTCCAATTCACTTAATAATTAGCTATTTTTGAGAAAATTAAGTTTCTTTATGGGGTAATTTATTAAAGAAAGCTCTTTTATTAAAATTTAAATGATATTTTTAATAAGCCAAATACAAACATCGATGTAAAAGAAAAACAGTCGATAGAAATATAAACACTGGGATCTTTTAAAGCAGCTTAATTCATTTTTGAGACGAATATGAACAAAGTTTTCGGAAAACAATTTTTTATTTTAATTCTTGGAATAACGAGAAAATTTATATATAAAAATTCTTAAAAGGCGAGTGTCATTCATTTTAAATCCCGTTATTGTAGAATAACGTCAAAGAAAGTATCTCGGTTCACAGGCTCTAGAGGTGGTCATTAAATCATATTTATCTTAGGGATAATTTCATTTTTAAGCACTAATTTAAAAGTATACGACATTCACCAGTCACTAACCTTAGTGATCTGCATTTTGATACACAATTCAAGTAAAACAGAACTGTGTGACCAGCCTCACGTATGAAGTTTGCTACATATTTGTTCTTATATAATTATTTTTGTATTACCTATAAGATTAAACGCAACTAATCAACCCCACCCCCACATTACATTTCCTTTCTCACTCTCGTCGGTGTTCATCGAAAGCTGGGAAAGGGTGCGCTGCACGCTCACAAGTTAACACAATGAAAGGGAAACGCCACGTCGAGAAATAAAAACGCGAACCCCGTTTCCCATATTATATGTCGGTCTTTTATTCGGGGCTTCGTCTGTTTGTCCGGGTGGGTGAGCAGGTAATACTTGAGACAACTTCTGCTATGTCAGCTCTTCCCACTACCAACTCTTCACCCCGATGTGGCGGCTGGTAATACGAAATGGATGTTTCGGAACCGCGCTGTGTACCAGTCCGTCTCCCGCCAAGGGCGGACCAGAACTCTGCCCGGTCCCAAAAATGACCGTCAATATAGTCCAGCACCTGGATATACCCTATTTCCGATTTTGTTTCTACTTGATCCTAGAAAATCCCTTTACTTCCGATTCCTCCTCAACTAAGATGAATAAAGACCGAATTTCAAAAGGAACCGCCAGATGGTCCCTCACACAAAACACTTGAGCTCGAGATAAAACCACGTTTGTCCTTTCTATTTGTGTGGCCATAGTACCACATGAGAGCGAAGTGGTATAATGTGTACCATCATAGATCAAGAATCCGACAATTTATTTCCGCAACAGAAAAAAAAGAAGGATTAGCAGATTATCGTTGTAAACACTAATAAAATCTCTTACGTAAAATTATTTTTCATTGATCTTCAGATTTCATCAGTTAATATCGGCATAAAGGTATGTGTCTTTTATGGCTTTCTTCGAACTTGGATCTTTTTCACGTGAATGTAAGAGATTCTGTCTTTTCCCTGTCCGGTGGGGTGCTTTCTGCGTATATACATCGTAAGCGCAGTTTGTATGACCACCTGCTTACACGTCAGCGGCAACGACTGGCAACGTATCAGACATGGATCTACACCTGGTGGCATATTTCACCCGTTGTGACACTGAGTGGAAAAGACAAACACTACAGAAAGATTGAAATAAAAAAAACAAGTTGGAGAAAATAAAATAAGCAGAGAGTTTGGAAAATTTTCACATGGGCATCAGTTATTCTTGCATCTTGTTTACAAAAATTTAACAATAATAATAACAAAGGCAGGAAATGTGAAACGAAAATCCGAATCGCATTTTATCTGCATTTCTGAGATGAGGTATGGTAACACTATTTACAGCCGCCCTGGGTATTATGATAAACTATATCCGCGTCCTGGGTAAGACGATAAACAACGTTCAACAGCAAGGCCTCTGATCAGGAGGTTTTGAGGAGCGTGGAGCCACCTCTTAATTTCTGGTGTTCCTAGGTCCAGCTTGACCCGGAGTGACAGCACCTGTTAGGGTCCCAGCTATGGGCAAACAGTTAACACCCAAACTTGTGTAAAAATAGGTTTTAAAACCAGAAATACTTTGTAATAACAAAAAAAATTATTACCAACAATAATTTTTGAAGGAAAAAGTATTATCTACTAAGTGAGAAATATAAAACTTTTTACGAAAATAAAACCATCCAAGATTGTAAATTTCCTAAAAGTTGGATTGTACTAAAAAATGAGTAATTGAAAAATGGTTCAAATATATATGTATACATACACACCTTTTTTACCAAACTATCGCCATGAATATATTTCAAAAATTTTGTTGGCATTAAATGATCCACTGAGGTTGATATGCCATAAAACAAACCAACCAACCAATTATTTACAGTGTTCAGACTGTTACACTCCGGCCTTCTTCACGTTGCTTTACAGCATTATGCTGAGAATACCTTGCTCGGAACATGTGAAAAATTAGTAAGTTTTAAGGAAAATGGGAACTAAAATAATAGTCAGAAAAGACAGTTGAAATTTCTGGGATAGATTACAAGGAAACGAGGCTTGGAGAACTTGAGGCACACAAGGCATATTGAAATCAAGAGGGCATTGGGGGGGGGAGAATAATTTTCGTAAAGAGCTTGTGTAAATGGATGACCAATCATGAGGATGACTAGTAAATGGACAAACATTATTTATAATTTCAAAGGATTTGGAGAGCCATGGTCGGCCATATTGGACAGGACTTATAATAGAAATCCTAATAACATTTGTAAACCAATGACCTGACGGATTGGGGATCAGGTCGTTTTATCTTTTACCGCCGGTACTAGATGAAGGTGTTAATGCCACCAGGTGAAACTCTAGGATTTCAAACGCTGGTGTTTGAAGTCGAGCGCTTCCCACCTGAAAAGACTGGAGTAATCTTGGATTCTTATTCTTAACCACCTCCACCATAACTCACGGTGGAAAAAAACAAAAGGAAAACTTGTAATTAATCGAAAGTGGAATTTCCGAGTTAAATTTTCTGCTTCGTTAAAATGCGGTGAAGGAGGTCGCCGCCTCAGTCTTCAAACGTAATGAGGAATCGTTGATCATTACGTGTGAGGGATAAGAGACACGCGTTTATGGCTGAAAGTGATTATGACGATGAAAAATATTAGGCATGTGTAAAAGTTCATAGAACCCATACTTTTTAATATTGAAGCCGAATACTTAATTCTATTTTAATAATAAAAAAAAAAACATTGTTGCCATATTCATAACGTATCGGCCGTTGTACGCTCCGGCCTTCTTCTGGTGATTAGAATTACAAACTGAACCCTTCTTTTTTTCGTCCATTGCACCACGTCGAAGTGCCTTTCCTTTTTCTATGATTGGAATTCAGTGGTGAATATTAACCCCGTAGAACAAACCCTACATAGCGATTTTTTTAGATCAAATTCGCCTTATTCATCATTATCATCGCTTTCGATTCCTTCAGTGATCGATGGCGGGTAAGGACATGACGACATAAGGAACAGACAACTTTCTCCAGGAGGGCCGACATTGTCATGACCGTCCACTCTTTCTCTAAAAGTATATTCGGTTCCGGTCCTATTCATCTACCCTCCTATACAGACACGGGTTTCTAATATATGCCTATCAAAGAATTTCCGGTACAGGAATTGTTTGTTAGCTGTGGAGGAAAGGAATTGTTTACCCTCCAGATTCGACGCAGAAAATTTTCTCATTTCTTCTTCATGTGCCGTTTTCCAGCAGAACGTAGACGACCATGACTCTCCACAACTTCCTGTCCCTTGCAGTTCTTAATAAACATTATCCTTCTGTTATTTCGCCTAAGTCCTGTTCCGATGTCTATTTACTCGATCTCACTATGTTATGCATTGTTTTCTTCTGTCCCTCTTGAACTCTTTCTGTCCTGTGAGTATCAGATTTTCCAAACCCTACTTCATTTTGTGCCCAAGAAACTTCAACTGTCTCTTCCTGGTAAATATTAATTTCCTTTTTGTTTCCATTTTCTCAAACTCGTCGACGCTCACTTGTTCGGTCCATATTATCCCCAGCATGCTTTTGTAGAACCATATTTCTGTTGCATTAAATCTCCTCTTAATCTGTTAGGACATCGTCCATAACTCACTACCATATAAGAGAATAGATATCACATAGCCGTTCAACACTCTTGTTCTTGTTCCTAGAGATTTTTTTCTGTTTCTCTGCTTAGCCAAAGAATCATACCAAAAGCTATCTCAATACGCTTTCGGATTTCAGTGTCGTACATTCCGTCCTCTGTTAAAACACTTTCTAGATATTTAAATTTCAGAACTTGTTTGATTTTGGTATCCCCGATTTGTAATTCGCACTTAGGGATCATCATTTTGTTAACAAGCATGCATTAATTTGAATAAACAAAAACTTGTTCGTGATAGGAAGTTGTACAGAGCGAGGATTTAACGATTACATTTAACTTTGCTTGTAGACTCTCTGCCTCTGGGCGGAGAGGAACCCAGACGAGGCTATGCCGAAGGGCAGTGTCTCATCTGGGGAGGTAGACAGCTAACCGACCCCGTGTATACAGGGTCTACAGGCCATTTTTGCCCGAGCCTACAGGCTCGGAACGCCCCACATAAAAAAGTGCTTAGTGCTACATATCGTCTCTGGTAAATACCGAAGTTGTACAGCCTTTTGACCAAGCTGTTGGCTTTCATTCGGTATTTAATTCTGTTTATTAATTTTTAACAGATTATGATAGATATCGAGATAAATAAAGCACTAAGTTATTACAATAGGGATTAACAAGTATTATCTGGAAGAGCATTACTAAATTAAGATTAGTAAATATTGAATACGAACGCATTGCTGTTATCAATGAAAAGAAAATTCGTCAGGACGACAATTTCAACTGCAGTGAGTTAAATCGTCATACGTTACTAGTATACGTAACCTTGTGCCATACCGAAAAAAATTGATACGAGGCTTACGGTAACATCAATTTGAAACAACAGTTCCCGTCCAATCACCAAAGTTAAGTAACGTCAAATCTGGTCAGTACTTAGATGGGTAACCGTATGGGAATACCAGGTGCTGTGATCGTGGATGTGCTGCTAGTGTAAGGTTAATGACTAGGAATTGTTAATTGGAGAGCGAAGTTTCAATTCCTGTTGGGTTCGTTATATTCACTTACGCGCAAATAAACTTGAAGATATGAATCCACCTCTTTCTCCCTCTTATGGGTTAATTAGTTAGACTTGTATCACTAAACCATTATCTCCAAAATAACATTTCTTACACTTTAAAATTTGTCTGGCTTTAAATAACCTGCTAAAGGTTTATAAGCCGTAGAAAACCCATCAATCAATATAAACTGATATATAAACCTATATACGAGAACCGTCCAGAACGCATCCAACCATTTTCGTATCACGAGGTTTGGATTCGTTGTCTCTAATTTAGTTTGCATCTCAATTAGAGATGACTTCACTGTGCACGTGTGAATACCTCTAGCAAAATTAAGCTCTCTGGTGGTAGCTTGCCTTGTTAAAAAAAAATGCAGATGTTTCCCATCGGTGACAGATTGCTGACAGATTCATGCTGAAATGTAAAATAATTGATTTCAGATACTGATTTCCTCACTGAACAGACCCTTTCCATTTTAAATGTTGGCGTAACATGATCTTCTTTGCGTCCTTATATTTCCTTGTCATACTAGTCTCAAATGACTGAATATCAAGAACAAATAATGGGATAATGTTGTTCAGAGAGTGAAAAATTAAAGGCCATCAACAGGCTTTGAACAATAGTCCTTTGTTGTTCATCCTACTCATATTACCATGAAGCTATCACTTGACGAGTCTCAGATTCTTAATCTAATTGAGTTCCGTCCTTGTTCACTTGCCTCGATCGACATCGATCGGTTAACGAATTCACAAATTTTAACAAGAGAACCTTGGATAACCGAATTCTTTGGGAATCGGGTTTTGGTAAACGAAGGGAATTTTTAGTGGATTTTTTTAACATGTTGAAGTAACATAATTACATGATATTTCAGCATCTGAGATTAAATGTTTGCATGTTTTTGTCATGTTTTAGTGTTTACTTTATGAACACATGTCGGGAGTTTTCTTTTCTTGTTCCGAAATATAAAAATGGGAGAAAGAAATAAAGTAGTAGATAGAAAGATTGGCATGAAGAAATAGAGAGTAATAAAAAGAAAGAGATAGAAAGTGAGTAAAAATGGGGGTAGGAAAGATAGAATAGTGAGTGGTTAGGAGAGTAATAAAAAAGATAGAATAGTGAGTGAAAAGGGATGGGAAATATAGAATGGTAAGGAGAAGAGTAATAAAAAAAAGAGATAAAGAGTGAGTAAAAAGGGGACGGAAAAGATAGAATAATAAATGGGTAGGAGAGTAATAAAAAGAAAGATAAAAAGTGAGGGTGAAAAGGGGTGGGAGAGTAATAAAAAGAAAGAAAGTGAGTAAAAAGGGGTGGGAAAGACATTGGTAAGGTGGCGGGAGAGTAATAAAAAGCAATATACAGAAGAAAGAGGTAAGAAAAAAGAAAATAGAGAAAGAAGAAACGCTAACAATTGATAAAGAGAAATAAATTTAAGGAAAGAGAGAAAAGAGTTACGAAATAATGGTAAGAACACAGAGAGAGTAATAAAAGTTGAGATAAAGAAAGAGTGAGTGAAAAAGTAGGAAAGAAAAGTCAGACATACAGCCCAGTGGACTTCACCCAATGAGTCGTGAGTTCAATACCTGCCTACTGCAGAGGTGAACAAATCTTGCAGAGTTAAAAGGGAGATAACTGAGACATCCGAAAGCGGCATGGCACGTGGAACTAGAACAATTTCCCCCCGGTGTACGAAATAAAGGCCCTATTTCAAAAGTCCACTCACCTGAAATAGGCCGGGGCGTACAACGATCGAAACGTCGTTAATATGACAATAAAGACGAGGACAACAGTTCAAACAATGCAAATAATGTAAATAATTACAGTAGGTCATCTCAAAAATATAGACAGATGTGGTAAAGAGAGAGAGAGTAATGAAAAAGTATATAAGAGAAAGTGTGAAGAATGATAAGAGAGAGAGAGTAACAAGTAAATCTAAGAAAAAGGAAAGAGTAAGAAAGAAAAAGGAAAGAGTAAGAAAGAAAAAGGAAAGAGTAAGAAAGAAAAAGGAAAGAGTAAGAAAGAAAAAGGAAAGAGTAAGAAAGAAAAAAGGCAGGAAAAAATAAAGTAAAAGAAAAAGGAAAAAGTAAAAAAAGAAAAATTAAAGAAAAAAGTTTCGCAGGAAAAATAAAACAAAAGAAAATTAAAGAGAAAAAGTTTGCCCATGAAAGAAAAGCTCATCGGACGAGCGAAAGAGAAAGGTAAAAAGACGGATGTAAAACAAAAAATACTATAAGAAAATGTAAAACTGCTGAAAAAAGCCTAAAATATTGTCAAATTCGCTTGTGTCCCAAACATCTGGTTTATTTTTAAACCAGAACTCTATTGAAATACTGAATAATTTCAGAGTAAAACATTTGTTTTTACATTGGTAAATTATATCTATTATTATGCCTATTTGCTTTGTTTTCGAGAAAACACCGTAGGAAACGGAAGGAATTCAATTCCTCCCCTTTTCTTCCGTGTTTTCTCTTGGTTTTAACTAATCTAGTATTTAACAATTCATTGTAGAATTGGTTACGGTGTCATCCATGAAAATATGAGAGCTGACATTTCCTTTATTCCGGCTTCACGTTGTGTATTACAAAGAAATTATTAATAAATTCTACGTGTTAATGAAAATCGTTTAACCCGGAATATCACAAACGAGTTTCTTATATTACGATCTTGGGTGTCTGTCGCAAAATAATGACTTAAATTTCTATGGTCAGGCTAACTTGCAAGTCGTAAGTTCAGTTCTCACAGGATGGTCTACTTATGATCTTCAACCACACTATGGTACGCGTTTAAAAGCAATGGGAAGAAAACTAGTCATTCTGAGTATTACCCCCGTGTGTTATTTTTTAGTTGTTTTTTTTTTCTTTTTATTGGGGGGAGTTGCTTTTTTTTGTTTGTTTGTTTTTTTATTACTTTCGGGCGGTTTTATTGTCTCGTAAAATGTGACAATACTTTCCAAACAAAAATATACATCGAATTCAATTGTAAAAATTAAAAAAAGAATAAAAAAAGACAAAGAGAAATGAAAATAAAAGGCAAAAATAGAGAAATGGTGTAAAACTGGGAAAATACAGAAATAGGGGTGGGGAGAAATAGAGTAAAGGGAAAGAAAAAATGAGTAGAGAAAGGAAAAGCAAATAAAAGAAAAAGAAAAATAGGAGGAATAGAGGGGAAAAGAAATGGAGGAAAGTAAAAAAGGAGAAGAAAAACAATAAGCAACGAAAAGTAAAATCTGTTCATACAAGCTTTCATTTTTCTTTATGGCTCTAAACGTTATTTTTAATGAGTAAATGTGTTTGAGTTATCATCGCTGATATTTAAACAGCGACAGGAAATAATACAAATATTGCAGTAGAAGAACCGTAATAGGAAATAATACGAGATTCAAAAGTTCAGAGGGTCCAAGGCTCGAAGTGTCTTGATAACTACAAATATGGAGATATTATTCCTAATGTAAATAATGCACACAGAATTTCAGAAAAGAACTAAATTAAAATATTCTATTAACTAGCAGCCAACTGGTTGATCAGAAAAAAAGCGTTCAATTAGAATGGAGCAAAAACAGCAGCATGTTTAGATGTAACAGTCTACCTTCAGTTACTTTAAAGTACTTCCATTAAAAAAAAATTGAATTAATGCAGTAGATTGTATTTATTCAATCGAAGTTAACCGAGAACATGATGGGGTAAAACAGATAACATGAAGACCCACTTCAGACCTCAATTATTTTGGAGTTTTTGAAATTCAGTTTGTCAGTGTGCTACCAGGGATGTAAAAGAGGATACATTTTATAAAGAAATTGTTAAGTTTGATGTAAATTGGTTGAAAGATCAACGAAAAATAAGAAACCACTAAAAATCACCATTTTTCGATATTGGCGCGCATTTTCACTATATGGGTGGACTCAATTATGAAGTTAATTGACTGTTAAACAATCAACTTATTGTTGGCTACAATTGAGTGAAGTTTGTTTGAAAATTGTGGAAGTTTTTAGTTTCAAATTTGTGTTGAAATCTGATTTTTCATTTTTCGAGGTTTTTCGGTAAACGCATTGGAGTAGAAAAAATTAGGTATCGTTGAGCTCGCCGTAATGTAAGTAACCTACATACCAAGTTTGAACGAAATCGGAGGAAAAAAGTTGAATTTATTATCTATTGATAGGCTATATCGATTATTGATTTTTAAGAGATTTTTTTTTTTTTTTTTTACACTAAAAACCTATCTCTTACTTTCTACAATGTGCCACGTTTGGTCAAAATCGGTTGTATGGATCTCGAGTGAAAAGGTATCACACAGACATACAGACATCCTCTGCCTTATATATATATATATATATATATATAAAATACACAGAAATAAAAATTCAACCCAACCTCAGCTTTGTTATAACATCCGTTAAATTGATAGCTTCTTGCAATATCCTGAAAGAATTTGATGAAAACCCTAAGAAATGAATTACTACGATTACAAAGTTCATTTATCGAATTCTTTGCTTTGTATGAATACTTTTATTGGTCTATCGTTTAAAGGAATTATGTGTTAATTCATCGATAACTACTTGCACTCACTGAATTTTCGTTGGTCTTTTGTTTTCTTATTTGTGATCAACTTTTGTGATAATTTATCGCTTGCTCGTAGCATCGACCGTCCTTATCTATTTCTGATTCAAGCGGCCATTGCGTAGCGAATCATTCTTCCTTCTATATGTTTTTCGCTAATTAAAAGGAACGTAAACTGTCGACGCATGCGCGTCTCCAGTAAATATGTCCATCTGTTCGCCAATCAGCGTGAATTATCTATTTATCTTTCAACGGAATGTATCACACTTTGAAGCGAACAGAATACACGTCTTTATAACCAATCCTCGAATCCTCAAAGAATATACATACTGTTGTGTATATCTTAGATTTTACAAGTATGTGAATGTACTACTGGGAGTTTGAATATCGCCAATCTGTTATCATTAACAGCTGAAATCGTTGCTTGGACTATTAACATAAGAGTAATTTGCGAAAATAAACGCACTAAAGATTGGTCGTTCATCGGAGGCACTGAAGATTAGTCGGTTCAAGGACAGATGAAAAAGTGAAATGAAATGCTCCAAATGTCCAAAAGTGAAGTAGTTACTTCAAAATCTAAATTTTTACCTGGAATCTAAAAAACAAAAAAAAAAAAAAAAAACACTGTTGCCGGTGTGAAAAAAAAAACCCAACTCTTTCAACTAACAAGCGCCGATGTCTAATATTACGCAGTCAGAGGAAACGGTTAGAAATCGGATATCATTTTATTTAGCAATCAGATGTTATATTTTGGTTAGTTGTTTTTGCTTAGCGGCATATCAACCTCCATGTTTCATTTAATGCCGAAATCTAGATATCTTAGACGCAGTTTTATTTATTTATTTATTTATTCATTTATTTATTGCTTAAATAATGGTTTTAGTGATTCGTGTCTAATTAATCCATAGCTGTGGGAGAAGTATATTGATAACTTACCCAAAAATACTAATCGTCAGTGACTATAAGGAACTCAGCAGGAATTGAAACTCAACTCTGATTAACAATTCCGAGCCATTATCCATTACACTACCTGAACATCCAAGCTTACAGCATCAGGTATTCCCAAGCGGTCACCCTTAGTACTGACCAGATCCGCCTTTGCTTAATTTCTTCCCGTGAAACACTGCTCCGTTGAACCGACTCCTAAGAGGATGTTTCCCCGATCACTATAATCTTAAACTGTTTAACTCTATGGTTATCTTCTTCACCTATCCGCCTAAACCGTCTCTTAATATAACCCTCTACCTCATGTGGCCCCTGTGCCTTGTACAGGGTAAACCTTACTGTAAAAAGGAAAACTGATCTAGTAGGATGATTTTATTATCATTAAAGCAAAGTTACTCTATTCAATCACCAGTTGAGTGCACCGTAACTGGTCTGTCAATATATGGATGTAGAATTTGTCTTGTAACAAAATGGTTTACTCCCTATTGTGGAGGAAGGTTTATTTTCTACTCGCTAAAACATCAACCGTAATCCTCTTTGGGGCTCTGTCGCTATTTCCGTGGCAAATCTAATCTGTATTTCCACCAGTTCAGACCTTTAGAGCTACAGCATTTTATACCACTTCCAGGGAGTCGAATCACACTCAAACAGCTTTTCCCAAAAGACTACCAGGTCCCCGTTCATGTGCTTCCATGAACACATCACTCTTTATCTCTTCAAGTTATAGGTTAATCGTCATCTTTTCTCTTTACCTTAATCATTTTCACCCCTACAACCGACTCTTCCTTTAATATCACATACCTCGTTCATTTTGGTTGTAACCCTCTAGGGCCTCGTACTAAGTGAAATTCTGCATTTAAAAACCAACTGAATGCTTTACTTCGTCACAGGGGACACATGGCCCAGGGAATAAAACCGTTGGTTGGACCCAGTGACTTTATCCAAAGAGTTGTTGTTCAGTACATGGCTACTGCAAAAAAAAAACTTGGAAATTTGAGTTAACTGAGATATCCGAAAGAGGCGTAGAACTAGAAGAATCTACCCCGGTGGACGAAATAAAGGGTTCAGTTCGAAATTCCAGTTACCTGATGAAGCTGGAGAGTACAACGGCCGAAACGTCGACAATAAAGATGAGGAAAACAGCCCGAACAATTTAAATAGTGTAAATTAAAAGCCATAAGTCATTACATAATCATTTTTCAGTTTTTCGGATTCAGGTAATGACAAATATAAGGCAGCCCATTATTATGTGGGTAGGTTCGGTTCAAAAAGAGTAAAAATACTTTAACATCTATCTTTTTCAAAAGCCTTTTTGTTTAAACTTGATCCGATATAGGCATTCTGATGAAAGCACTTTATTGAATTTTATAATGCCTATTTCTCTATTTAATCGAGTACAGTATACAACTTAAAGGAAACAACTTTTGTTTCCTTTAGGCTGTATGCTATCCTCGAAATAGGCATTATAAAATTCAATAAAGTTCTTTCATCAGAATGCCTGTATCGGATTAAGTTTAAACAAAAAGGTATTTTCTAACTCATAAACCCAAAATTGGAGTAATGTATAGCGGCTCGGATTGAGAAACCGGGGAGCCGAGTTCGAATTCCAGTCGGATCCACTGTATTCACTTACGTGTTAATAACCTTGGAAAAAGTATGAATCCTCTTCTTCTACCCGGCCCAACTATGGGTCAATAGCAGGACAGACTGGGTTGTATAATTTTGGGTGGTAAGGAGAAGAAAAAACTCTGAATTCAAAACCGGCCTAGAGAGAGTTGGGCTCCGTAAGGCTATCTTGCCCAAGAAACACCACTTCTACTGTGTGCTGCCCCTACGACCCTACAGGGTAAATAGTAAGACAAACTGGGTTCTATAGCATTGGATGGCAACCGGCCTATGATAAGGAAAAACTCTGAATTCAAAACCGGCCTGGAGAGATTTGGGCCCCGCCAGGCTCTCTTGCCCAAGAAACACCACTTCTACTGTGACTGTAGTACACATAGTTCCACGACCCTACAGTTCTCGAGATAAGAAAACAACAAATATTTAAATGTTTCCTTGTTTGATAAACTATTCATTCAGTTCTATAAAATGGATTCATGCTGTCAGAAGACGAGAAGAATCTCGATGTTTATTGTTATCTTCGCAACTTTACTGTTAGCTTCGATACTAAAACTAATCTTGCATCTGCCTCTTCTCAAAGTAATAAGAGGCAAGGAAATATGCAGCCACTTGAATTAATCAAAATTACAGAAGAGATTTGATGTTTCCTTTATGACATTGTATAATGTGATTTTGAGTTAAAGCTTTCATTGTATTTCAGCAAGTATTTTCCATGCTATTTGCGATGACTTAAGCTTTTTTTTACGTTTTTTTGTTTTTTTTTGTTTTTAAATAAAATCTCTCTCTCTCTCTCTTTAATTGACATTACTAAAACGGATTTTACTCTCTATCTCGTTAATTACAAAAAGCAGTGCCTTTAGAGGAATATGTTGTTGTTGTTTTTCAAGTATATATTTTCAGTTGTACTCGTATCTGACCTCGGCCCTTTGACACATCTAACCGTTCTTATCCTAAACTTGCACGTGCTGCTGCTCGCATCTAGCGGTAATATCTCAATTGTTTCCGCTTGAAACAGGAAGGGCTAAGTTGTCACTTCCGGAGAAGGAATAATAACATTATAGTTAACTTTCTTTTCTTGTTATTTATCTCTCAAACATTATTTTCCTTTCGTTT